CTTACACATTCTAGTTTCTAGCCAGTGGAATAACTCATTTCAGGACGATCCCACATCCATTGAGGATTTTCTGCCGCCGGCTGATCGTTGATGATTCAGAACCCCAAGAATCAAAACCGATGAAAAGGAGACGTCTGGTAAGCAAGAATGTCATTTCAAGCATCTACATAATAGTAGATGCTAAGGTAGTTAGAGGGAGAAGAGAGCCCTTTGCAATGACTCGCTTTTTTCTTTCCCCGAGCGAAGCTCAGACCAGAGCGTAGAGGTGCAGCGCATTCGCAGTCGCTTGATTCGCAAGGCTGAGAAATACGAAGTATCCGCTTGAATCTCGAGCTGCCAAGTATGAACGCAACTCGAGCGATTCAGGCGGCTTTGGTTGTCACGCACCACACATGCTCACAAATAACTTTCTTCTACAGTGATAGTTTTCCGCTAAACGCTTAAATAAATTGTTCAATTGCAGTTCGACTAGGCGGCATGGTCAGCATCAGTCTTCAGTCCAGTTAGTCGGGATTCCCTAGGACCGATCGAATCTCCAGACTGTTTCGATGATTCTGGGATCACACTATTCCTTTTGTAAATATATTTGTAATTCAGTTAGCTGATCATTACCGGTATGTGCTTTTAGTCGTTGGGTCATAGGTTAGTAGTGCTTAGTGTAAAAGTAGTTAATATAGTAGTGTAAAACTGTGCCTCTGTCATCCCAATGAATAATTTGTAAATTCTCGATTTTGGTCGTTTTCCTTCTTAATAAGTGTTGTTGTTGGTCTTTGATAAAAAGTGAAAGTGCTTCTGTTGGAAAGGCTCCGAAGTGAATGGATAGCTTATGTAAACGGATAGAAAAAACAAATGCAAAAAGGGCTGAAAAGTCGGTTCAAAGGCACGGTCCGCGATAAAAAGCCTAGGTGATTTTGCAGAAATGTGGAAGAAAATTTGCCAAGTGAACCATCTATGAAGAGAAAATGCCAAAGGGAACGTTGGAAACGCATTCGTCAGGCCTCCTCTAGCCTCAAACAACTGTAGAGGTAAAAGACCGGACCGCGCGCTGGGACAAATCCCGTCGGCTGGAGGCGGAGTAACTGGAGAAAGGGATGTACCACTGAAGCAACTTTGCGCCTCAATCCCTTTACCGTACAACTTTCCGCCGCGAAACTGGCACAGGGTTCGTCCACTACCTTCCCATAACCTCTTGCATTTTCATAGGTCATCGCGGACCGCCGCTCCTTTAATGTCGAATTCCTGTCAGTAAATTTCCATTCGAATGTCTTAAGGAATAGGGCCCACAGATCAGAGCGCACAATCACGTTGTGAAGAGTTCTTGCGAAGTACAACCTCCGTTTCCATCCCAACTAGCACGTAATTACCATTTTCCAAACTTTTTCCAAAAGTTTTCCATCGAGTGGGTCGAGATAGAGGTCAGCTATCAGAGAAGTTGTTCATGAAAATGCTCCGGTTTCTGAGTTTCTGTTTTATAGTAAGCCTGCTTCCTGTTGTAGTTTGATAGTGGGACGTAATTTGGCTAAAGGGAGAAGGAACTCAAAAGACCCCTTTGTAAACTGGAGTCACCGTAAGGGGGAGCGCCACTCTGTCTTGCTCGACTGAATCTTCCATTTGAGCTTCCTTTGCACTCCTGAGACGCTTATAGATTTAATGGGCCGTCAATGCTCGTACGGAAAAAGCCAATTTTGCAATTGCAAAACAAAACCTTATAGATGCCTCGTAATCCTTACTCTTTATCTATAGGCATCTATGAACTTTTCTCTCCAGAAATCTTCTCTCGCATAAATATATATTTGGGAGTGCCTCTCAGTGGTGGAATAGGTGTTTTCAAATTAAAGTTGAATCTGTTAGGGAGAGAACGCGCTGAAGCAAGGAGCAGGCATGAAGAAATTTAGGAAATGTTCAGAGCGGGATCAAAGAAAATACGAGACAAAGTAGAGAACCAAGACTGGTAGCTTCCTGTGGTGTGTACCGAGTGATGAGTGTAGCTGAAATATCCGATCAAATTTGTGATGTTATAAGCACAAACTGGCCTCAAAAGGGCAGCTAAACATGTAAAGACTCGCCATCAGGCACTAGTTTTTTGTCTCGGTGGTGTTTGAGAACAGTGATTTATTCTGCTGCGCGGCTGCTGGAGCCGCTTCTCCTGGGAGCCACACCGGAGGGCTTGGAACGGCGCCACGTTAGCTTCTCACCTACTGGTGGTTCGGGCCTGCTATTTCAGCGAGTTGGTGGAGGATGGGCCGCGTTGCGCTTAACTCAGCCCCCTGCGGGTGAAGGGGCACCCGCAGCAAATGAGACTTCAGAAATTGTCCTCAAAGTAATCAGTAGGTCTTTCATCGAACACTGCTGAACAATCGCAGATGCATGAGAAATTCCATTCCGCAAATATGAGGAGCAGAATGGAAGAACATGGTCCTCCCCTCCATTGAACTATGGTGTCTGACCGGTCCTCAGCACCCTCCGGTTAATAAGTCCTAAATGTTTCTACCACCACATGGCAAGGTTGCATCGTAGTTCCATCGGGGAAATGTACTTACGGTCAGTATAGCCGTCAAATCCAGCGAGAAGCACATATGACAATGATGGACGGCAAGATAGGACAAATTTACGCTAATAACATTAGAGCGAGAATGTGGGGAGCTCGACCAACTGTGAACTCGCCTCCGCTTCTTTCCATGTGCGAGATGGACGGACCTGCACCTGCAGATGTGTGCCACTTTGCCCGCTCAAAATGCAAGGGAACGAGGCTGGAGGGTGGTGATACCTGTGTGCAGTGACAAGCAGCGCATTTGGCTATGGTAGGGTGTGTAGCTGCCCATGCGGCACCGCGAGTGGAGTACGGAGGCGAGCTCCACTCGCGAGTACCACTACCCTCTGACCCCGTTCCCACGCAGATTTGACCGGAGAAAGTAGCACACTGCTGCAGGTGCGAGCCCATTGTCCTCGCACTTGGCAGGACCAGGGTCCAGTGGCTGAGTGCAAAGGTCTATCTCTGAAGGCGGAGCCCACGATCACTTACAAGTGGCTAGAGTCTTCGTCCGCAGGTAGTGTGAAGTGCAGCGAACATCCCTATATAAGTTTTACCCCAGGAAGATTCAAGGTTAGCGGCGGTAAGGCGTAAGGTTGCTCAAGTGACCCCGCCCAAATTTGTAGATGTCGTATTTGGGTTCTTCTTCTTTGCATGCTCTCTCGCTAACTTTTCTGGTATCTCTCTCCCGATATCGATATTGACTGTTGGCCTTTCGTGTGACACGAGTAGAATTCTAAGCCTTCCGTGCTACCTACAATTCTCTGGCTCATCTCGAAGTCGCTCTTGAGCCTGCCTTAGTGGAAAAACAGTACGTAAAATTTTATTAATAATTAATGTAACAGATTTGGTGCAATATTTGTTTCTGATCACTTGTATAATTATTGTGTCTCGGCAGTATCATGAGATCCAAGGCCATACTTCAGCTCGCTGGAAAGTAAATATCGGAGTTATGACATACAAAACTTAGAAGAATTCTGCAGTTACTTACTATTTGAATAAATTCCTGATGCGGATGACCAGGTTTCACGACAGTTTTCGGACGATGTATCATGGTAGACCCTCACCAAAGGAGCCGCCTAGAAATGGAGTGTTATCAGTAGCCTTGGAAAGGCCCTCTCTGAAAGCATATTGGGATTGAACTTCCCGATTCAGCTCCTTCTCGCAGACTGCTTTAACCATTGGACAATAGGATACTGTTCGATGCGTCTTCGTCGTGATGACGCAGATACGGGGACGCGACCCGCCTCGATCTGGAAAAGATAATACTGTGTCTAGTACATACATGTAAAGGTATTCCGCGATGGCATCATAATGAGTGGAGACTGATGAAAAATCCGTCCTATTCATTGGGGCATCCCTTTGGTGCCCCTGAGCAGGCCCTGCGCGACGCCTTTTCCAAGAAAGGCACCCCTGTAGCGCCCTATCAGGCTGTGACGTGCAGTGCGATGCCACGCCCACCGACTGATGCTGATGGTACCAGCATCAGGCATCATCGTACTGCGAAGAAAGCTGATATAAGCGGCCACAAGTGCTTTGTGACACTCGAGACCCTGAGAATTCGGGTAGGCGTGGCCGGCAATTTTCAACTTACCTCAAGGCGTCTACGGCTCTTGATGCGATATTGTTCATCATCTCCACAAATAACGTCGTGTCTCTGTCCAATACAGAACAAGATGACAGTTGTCCCAGACTGGAATATTCCACCAGTAACCAGTTCCTTACAGTGTTCGAATGCTCCGCCTACCCGATCTCAGGGATTTCGAGTATATGGAGGATTTCGCACATAACATGCGGACATTTTCTACGCGTATTGCGATTAACTGCACGATGCCAGCGGTGAAGTCGCCCGAGACAGTTTTCTTAGTCGTGTAAAACAGAGGCTTTTTTGGGATTTCGAATGTTTAACTTCGCTTTCACTTCATTTTAACACTGTACAGGACCCCTGCTACCATTTTGGACCGAGTACCGAACTATCTTGCTCTATTCCTTTGATGTAATCGCAATCAGTCGACTTCCCATAGCATGCGACGAACGTGGAACGTGCTTTCAGGATACGATCCACGCTCGTTTACGCTCCGCATTTGACTTACTGAGGGAATCGTTCAGATATTTCAAAGGTGTACAAGCACTAAACTAAAGAAGGCCGTAAGTCGCTTGGGTGTGCTTAAACCATCATCAAAGTGAAACCCAGAAGATATTCGCAAAGGCTGACAACGTGCATCGACAGCGCTGAAGTAAAACAAAATTAAAAGTAAACGTAACAGACCATACCTTGTCGTAAGTGCAGAAACGATCCGCGCAACATGATCGTTGTCGGAAAGGCTTTTTAAAACATGCCCTTTCCCACA